TTTACTACAGTGTGTTGAAGTCATGTTAATGTGGATTTAAAGACATTTCAGTTAGTAGAAAAAATTTGCAGGAGGAATATAAAAAAAAAGCCTAATAAATCAAAACTTTCGCGACCCCCATGCAGTACCTCCAAGGACCCCCTAGGGGTCACGGACCCCCTGTTGAAGACCTCTGCTTTAAGAAATGCAATTACAGTTCAGCAAATGATGATAAAAGAATTTAAACAAAAAAAGAAGCCAAAAAGACTCATACAATGAAATATTGGCTTTGGCATTACAGAGCATTCACTTTTTTATAAAATATTGTTATTATAACTCAGAAGAACGACACTATAGTGTAAGAAAGCCTCTTCTAAATTAGGGACTGCACATTCAAAGACATGGCTGTATCACTGCACATTTGGTAACTAGGCTCTTCCTTACAAAAGTGCAGAATAACACATTTTTGAATTTAAAATGCAGCATTTCCTGTCGCTGTAGAGATTAGTTGCTAAAAGAGCAACTTTGTTTTAATTTTGAACAGATATTATTGCCCTTTGCCTCAAATCAACACTCAAGTTTTCCAGGACAGGGAGAGGCAGCTGTTCAGAGGATAAAAATATGAAAAAATGCATGAATCAATCAAAATGACACTTTGGGCAGGAGTTTGATGAAGGGATTGCATTGTAACACAGTTTATGGTGCTTAAAATGTAATGTCTTTTTTGCCAGTTTATTGTAAGATTTGGTTTAAAATCATCAACACTCTAAGTGATTACATGCTGTGTTTTAGACAACTTTTATTGTCTTTTGGACAAAAGTTGTCCAAGTTTTGATCCAGTAAAAGTATGCACTTTATAGCCAGCACTGTAGCACCAGCGTCCAGATCTTTCTTGCTTTGGGTAGGAGTATGACTCATGAGCTCCATCTGTCCTGAAACAGAAGAAGCATTGCAGATGCAATAGGAAAACCACCGGAACACAGTGGCTATGTCTGAACAATATTATTCCACTCTGGTTTGTGTGGAAATAAGGGTCGGGTGCTTGTATCTTTGTTGAAATAGGCAATCTAAAGCAGCCCAACTTTATGAACCATATAAATTGTTGACTTGTGTTGCTTGCAACATGATACTCATGCTTACAGATTTCGGACAGGGGCTAAGTCAGAAGATTTGAGCCAGGTTGTTTGCAAAAAGACCTACAGTTTTTGCACACTGGAGCACATTCTGCAGCTGTGTTTAAATGAAGGCCTATGACCACCTCTCAGAGCCAGTCTTTTAGATTTAACCTTAGATATACTTTTTTTGCAGTACACTTGAATTCGGCCTGAGGTTTGTGATTGCCAAGAGTGAAATTTTAATTGCTACTGCTGAAGCTCAAAAAGACTTACCGCAAAACAGCTTCTTTCAGCAAGTCTTTACTGGAACACAGACCATTAACTTAACTGGCAACATTTCAGTTCTCAATGTTCTTCTTCTTACCACTAAGCTCCAAAAGAATTAGGAAACTTGACAAAATATTAGTAAATGTAGATAACCGGTTCTGATAAAAAAGAAAACAAAAACCTCAATATATTTGTGAAAACGATCTAAACCAATCACTTTTTTTTAGAGTTTTGGTTTTGTAGCATTTCCTGACTTTCAGTATACAAAAAAAAAATACATTGTGCAATGTTGACCAAGTCGTCCAAGAATGTACAGTTTGAGTTTAGATTTGCATAACTGTCAACTTGAAAGGATCATGTTCCCCACTTTCTCCAATCTTCCATCTCTTCTCATGCCAAGGTGGGCTGAGCCATGCAAATTCACAAGGAAATAAAAACAGTGCTGTTTTTTTTCCTGGGAATAGGGAACAACACCAGTATTTCCTGGAGGCAATCTCTTAACTATATAAAAAATGCCTTTGTACAGCATAGAGATGATAAAAACTTAAACCCACACTCCAGGAACATTTTTTGAACAGTTCCTCTCAGATCCCATGATGACAAGCTTAAAATGCAAAATAAAATCTGACCACACATGTTGGGAGGCAACAGGCCTACTATAGCTCTGGTGTGTGTGAGGTCATAATTTAGCTCCCCTGACCATCGATTATAGGACTTGTCATGTGACCAGCAGCTCTAGTAAGACGCTTTGCAGTTAGTTTGGGATTTTGCATCATGGTTGTGTTGTTTTTTTTCCGTAAACCATGGTAACATCTTGCGTCATTTGATGGGTGACCAGGGAACAATCCACTCAGGCTTGTGGGTGGGAGTGTCCAGTGTCCACCCCACACTTTTGCATGTGGACACCTGTCTTGTAAACAGAGCGGTTACGTTATTTCCTGAAGGCAATTCATGCACTCATAAAGCTGAAGCTGGTTCATGAAGAGTCTGTTCCATCATTCAGGGAAGATAACTTTTCTAAGTTTGGAAATATAAAGAGTCGCTAAGAGGGATGAAGAAAACAAATAAATAATGTCTGAACTTTGTTCCTGTAAACCTATCCTATGAAATAAAATCATCAGGATTTTAAAATATATGATGGGATCTTTGAAATTGAGGATTTTTCAATCTCAGACTAATTGATTGACTTTATTGATCTCACAGTGGAGAAATGTAATCGTTCACCTCAAATAGTCAAAGAAGAATGTGCTGAAGGAAGAAAAAAGTGCATGGGATATATAAAGTATATACAGTGCAACCACATATGACAGCTTTCCTTTTTTATTATTATTAATCCTTTATTGTAGGATCATTATACAGGATTATTGCACAGGGCATTTACATGAGTTTTTATATAGATGGATATTTATATTTATATATATATATATATAGTTATTGCACTGGGTGTCAAATATAGAGAAACACGTTATTGCGCAGGATATCAAATAGTTAATTGCACATCATATATTGCACAAGTTATAGTGTTGTAGTGTCGCATTGTAGAGTCTGTTTGCAGCAGGGATGAATGAGCTGCAGTAGCTCTCCTTTTTACAAACAGGGTGTAAAAGTCTTTCACTAAAGGAACTGCTCAGCTCCTTTAACATACAGTTATATAAGGAAATTAGCAAGACCGCTAAAAGCTTTTTAAACCTTTTTAAATGATAAAATCCTTTCATTACTAGAGACCAAGTTTTAATGTGGGAAAAAAAAGCTTATCATCCAATGACAGGCCATCTCAGAAATGTATAAGTGACAGTAAGCAGTTAAATATAGATCATCACTGACTATATGAGGTAAAATATTAAAAACAAATAAAGAAATAGATGCACAATACTCTGCCATCCAGACACATGCTTTCCATGGTTGACTTGGTCACTTAATTTACATAAATACGGTCATGTCCATTATATAGTAAAGTTCAGCTATAATAATGACACATTTCAAATTTCAGCAAAAAAAAAAGGAGGACTTGAGAGCAAAGTTTCTAGTTTGACCCAAACTAGGGTTATTCTTTGCATTCTTTTGCTTAGAAAAGTTTCTTTTATTTTCCGGCTTAATTGGATTCTCCTCGGAGGCTTTTATTATAAAGTAACCTGGTGTTCCTTTACTTGAAGCATTTTCAATTTAAAACAGAGGCTTTAGCAAAAGAATTCTCATAAAATTGTTTTGAAAGAAAAACATGTTATTATTTACTGTCAATGCTTGGATTGGTTTTGTATGGAATATTTAGTGCTCATTGAGCAGTGCTCAACACCTTTTGTTGACAATTTGTGCTAAAGTGGTACACATAATTTTACCCAAATTCAGCTTCTTGGAAGCAAACGGTAACTTAATGCAACCTGAAGTAGAAAGCAATTTGTGCAGCATATGAAATATCTCTCAAAAAATGTATTCAAGGGCAAAGAAGCAACCTCTTTAGGTTCTACAGTAAATCCCAATTTAGCCACCTGTCTCCATTGCCTTACTCCGCCTCTGTTTACCTCATAAACAAAGATGAGAGCATCATTGCAATGTTTTGGCAAGGCTCTGCATTTACATTTATTGGAGTGGGAGGAGTTTCCTTCCTTCGCTCCTTCCCACTAGTCCTGCAGCTTTTACAAGTTCCCGCATGCACACTCTTCACACACACATTGTGAATGGAAGCCGAGGGAAGATGAGTGGGCCTGTGGGAGCTGCCGTTGCTTAACGGGAATTGAAGGAGCAAGAATGACCTGACAGTCTGAGCAAAAACAAATCTTTTCCAGCCTCTGACCACACCAGCAAAAAGAAGTGATTTGCATTGAGCTCACCTGGAGAAGGGGGTTTGGGGGTGAACTGATTTCTGGGCTGCGCGTAAAAACGCAGACGCAACTCCAAACCTAAGAAGATGAGGTGGATTTTCCGCGGCTGGATAACTTGTTTTCTCGTCACCCTTTCCGCACAGGTAAAATAACTTATCTTTTTAAAGTTGGTTTAATAGGATCCAGCCCATTCATCTACAGTAAGCAAATGCGCCGTTTTGCGCATCATGGATCTGGGTTATAAGGTTTTTATTTCACACCTAAAACTTCTTAATTGTTTCAAAATACGCGCTGCTTAGAGTTTATGCTGGACATGCTGTGCCACATTATTAAATGATTGAATTATTTGCATGAAAAACCCCTCCACCCACTGTTTACGCACAGACAACTTTAAAACATTTCTTTTGGATTTGCTCCTATTCTATCCACCATATAACAACAACAACAAAAAAAACGTCTCTGGCAACATATTGTTGTTTATTCACCAGATGGGTCATCAAGACTAAAATGCATATAAGATGTCACTCTCTCTCACTTTATTTTTGATTAGAGTTTATTGGTTACATTATGGATTTCTGCCCAGAAAAGCAAAACCAGAGTTTTTTTAACCATACTTTAAACACTTTTTTATGTTTTCCTTCAGAAAATAAAATAAAATAAATGTTTTAAGAAGAAAGGTAAGCATGTTTTCCACTTTTTGTAGTCCAAGCAACTAACACTGTCCAGGTGCAGAGGTTTGTAAGATGTGGTTGTAGTGGTGGGACTGCTGGGCACCATAAGTCTATCACTGCCTTTTTTACCGTAAGGCAACTTCAAAATGCTCTGACTGGAACAGATGCTTGCCCTTTCTTTCTTTCCTTTTTTTTATTTAATACTTCTGTTCCAAAAAGTGTCGAAAGAGAACAAGTCTGAGCTGGCACTGACATCTTTCCCATACAGGGACTCATAGCGTTATGGCACAAGAAGGAGAATTTAAAAAATGGTTTTCAAAAGCTGTGAAATCATCAAACATCAAGTGGAATGCCTGGAAAAGGAGTCAGAATGGGGAAGGGGAGAAATATTTTCCATCAGTGCTTTAAAGTGACACTGCAAACCTTTTGGCTCCTGTTTGTTCTCATAGTGGTCTTGCCATTACTGGCTCACAATATCCCCTTAGAATTCCCCTTCATGTCCTAGGTTTTCAACCGCTTCTACCAAGTTCATTCCAAATTCATCTCAAGCTGTCTATGAGATATTGGGCAATGGGCAATGACTTCAAGATGTTCTGAGTTTTAGATTAAAAAAAAAAAAAAAAACAACAATAAATCAGGGAAAGGCTGCATTTTAGTGGAATTGTCCACCCGCTTCCCTTCAATAATAGCTGATAAAGCACTTTTTTTTTGTAAAAAAGCCGCCATTTTTACCAGTAATCTGCTAGTCTGTCTGCCAAGTTTCTCTCTTGAGGCACATCAGAGCAAAGTGTCACCTTTTCTTTGCTGACTGATTGAACCATGAACCATTTTCACACAAACTTTTTTCTGACTATTCAACCTGTTACCGGTGCATTTGTCCGTCCACTTCAATTAGAGTATTTAGATCCATGTCTAAGACTTTCTGAGACCATCTGTGTTGCCTTTAACCTGCATCTGCAAATTTGAAATGATGGAAGGGAACTGGAGCATTGTCTTTTCCATTTAAATGGACAGCATGAAGGAAAATTAGCAATGACAGTGGAAGCTTTTTGTAAGGAAAGAATTGTATGTGTTCTTGGCATGCCTAGAATGAACTATTTTCATTTTTAAAACAAAAGCTTTAGGGAGGATTAGAGAGTCTTTGGAACTGGTGTGTTTTTTGGTCTGTTGCTTAAGTTTTCTTTGTACTTTATGAATTGCTTTTTTTCTGTGATTAATTATTTTCTCATTTTATTCTTTCTCTACTTTTAGTTTATAAATGGTTGTTTTGCTTAATAATACCCACATTATTGGTTTGAAATGCAGTTTAATCATAGGTCTAATCACTACACTTGGATTCAGCTGTTGAGCAATAATGCCTTTATGGCGCCTTATCTCAGATCAGTATTACACACAGAGTCCTAAAAAGTCAAAGCGTGCGTCTCCTGGCTCCAGGCCTCGTAAGCTGCTACGACCGTTATGCAAATTCTCCCGTCCTCCAGAGGTAAATGAATAGCACCCTTAGTCACAACTGTGTTTTCAGAGATCACACTAGTGGTGAAAGATGTTTCATCAGATAAACAAACTAGTCTGGAAAAATATGAGGGACATGTTTTTTTTTTTTCGTTTTTTTTTTACAAAAAGTGACAGTGGAGAAGGAACTCTGAATGCCTCTTTTTTCCCCCCTACACACACACTTTATGTAGGATTACCCTCTCCCTCCTTTTGACTATTTTCCCCTTGCACTCTTCCCATATTTTTTATTTTTTTTTTAGAAAACTATGCATTTGTAATGATAGATTCGAGCATGCACTACAAATAAAGTTAGCTTTGTGGTCAGAGATTCCATTTTCACCATTATGGCAACCTATAATCATATAGGGTGGATCAGCTGTTTTTCTTTTACATATATATATTTAGCTAGTCAAAAAGAATTACCACACATAACTGAGACCCCGTATTTACATAAGGAACTAACAAAAACAATGTTCCCACAATC